TGAGATCTAAGAAAAAAAAGTAGGAAGCGGAATGTATGAATCAAAGTCACGAGCTCTCATTGTTGATTCTGCCCTATCCTGACACCCCCACCCCCTTATTCTAATCAACAGCGATCGTTCAAAATTCCACTCCTCAATTTTTGTTTGTTTTAGATCTCATATTAAAACTACATGAGTGCGGATGCATCATGGCAGGAATGAGACTTGTGATGTTTAATATTATCCACTTCAGAAAAAACATATTTATACGTTGACGGCGAATGCGCAGTCGCTCTTCTCTCATTTCTTGAATTGCGACCATGCTGAACATTTAAACAAAAGAACTCGAAAAAAACTTAAAAGAGTCATTATTTTCAAGTATTTCTGAGAATTAAAATTCTGAAGAGCGATGACTGCCGATAAAAATAAGGNGGGGGGGGGGGGGGGGTGTCAGGATGGGGCAGAACCAATATTGAGAACTCATGATTGATTCATGGCTCGAATATTTGGTTTGAAAGTTGCAACCTTGATAGCGTAAATACCATTCCAAGTCCATGTCTTTGAACAAGTGGACAGCTTTATGCAAAAAGGAACTAAGATCAAATTTTCGATTTTTTTTTTTTTTTTTTTNTTTTTTTTTTTTTTTTTTTTTTTTTTTTTTTTTTTTTTTTTTTTTTTTTTTTTTTATGATGATGAATTCCGTATCAGGAGGGTATTTACTTACCTACTATTGAGAAAAAGAAAATCCTCAAAAACGATTTTTATCCCGCTTCAGCGATCCCGCAAAAAATGGCCGTCGCAGGATCAGGCAAGGTTCATTTTGCAATTGGGACCTACACTATGGTTCTTTATTGCGTAATACGAAACTCAGATTTCCCACTTTGCAATTCGGAACTATAAGCAGGACGGCAAGATGCTGTCATTGCTATCTCGGCTCCTGTTCGATCGATCTTGCTGATTTTTGGTACCAAGGGGTAATATAGGACGGGAAACTCGAATTTCTGGTCAAATTTTGAAAATTCAAAAATCCAAAATGGCGGATGTAGCCTAAATTGCTATCTCGGGCTGCTCGATCTATCGTGGTGAATCTTGATTGTAAAGGGGGTATTTTTGGACGGGAAACTTCGATTCCTAGCCGAGTTTCGAAAAATTGAAATTTTTTCAAATTTTGACGATGAGCTTGTTCCGTAATTTCTGATTTTTGCATTTTTTGAAGTATTTACTACGCATAAGCCACAATAATTTTCTTCGATATTTTTCGCATTTCAATCCACGAAAAACAAGTTTGAGGTTGCGTCTTCTGAGCTCTCCTTTGAACACGTGTCTCCGAGGAATGAAAGATCCCCTAGAGGATACTTACACAAGTAAGGTCGTTTTCGGCCACATCCACCATCTTATATTATCGAATTTTTAAAATTTGATCAGCGATTCGAGTTTCCCGTCCAAAAATACTACCTGGTGCCAAGATTCACCGCGAAAGATTCACCGAGCACGAGCCGGGATAGCATTTTAGGTCACATCCACCATCTTGGATTTTCGAATTTTCATTTGATCAGAAATGCGAGTTTCCCGTCCAAAAATACCCATCGGTACCAAAAATCAGTAAGATTCACCGAACAGGAGCCGAGATAGCATTTTCAGCCACACCCGCCATCTTGGATTTTTGAATTTTCAAAATTTGACCAGAAATTCGAGTTTCCCGTCCAAAAATACCCTCTGATGATACCGGAAATTAGCATGATCGATCGAACAGGAGCCGAGATAGCATTTTAGGCCACATCCCTAATCTTGGATTTGCGAATTTTCAAAATTTCACGATTCACGGGTTTGTTGACCTATTCAAGGGTTTATCGATCAATTCACGGATTTTTCGAACGAATCACGGGGTTGTCAATCGATTCACGGATTTGTCGATCGACTCGCAGGTTTTTGATCGATTCACGCTCGTCAATCGAATCAGTGTCGATCAAATCACGTCAATCGGTTCACGTTCCAACTTTTCGATCGATTCATGTCAGTCATGTCGGATTCATGACACCGGGTTTTCAATAATTTGTCGATCGAGTCGATTCACGCTATCATTTTTCGATCGATTCATGTCAATCGCTTCTATAAACCCTCTCGTCCAAATTGCATGTTAATATTTGCCACCATTCTCGAAATATTAGCAAGTCTGTAGGTATCCATATTTTTGGCACACCCTGTTTTGGTAGAATATCTTTCCACAGGGACAATGCACCAAGATCCATCCATATAGGTCAGTCATTGCGCAGATTTCCCCGCTCGGGGTAAGCCCCTTTCCATTGGCTCGTGACGTCAGAATTACTGCCGCGAAAACCAGAAAAGTCGGAAACAATGCTTTTCTTATGGGAGAGAGCAAATTTTTCTTAATGAATCATTTAAATTTCTTACTTTTAAATCCTTTGAAACTTTCTGTGTGTCGAAAAGAACGTTTAGACATTAGCATTCAGGGTTTCGATTTTGCCGAATTTGTGTTCTTTCATTTTTACAGTTTACTCTGCATCAGCCATTTTTACACGCGAATCTATAACACTAGATGGCTTGTTACATCGCTGACTTCAAAAATCATTTAAAAATATAAAAACGCAAATTCAGCTGAATTGAAACCCTTGACGCTAATTTCTAAACGTTCCTTTCGACACTCAGAAAGCTTCAAAGAATTTAAAAGTAAGAAATTTAAGTGATTCATTAAGAAAAATTTGCTCTCTCCCATAAGAAAAGCATTGTTTCCGACATTTCTGGTTTTCGCGGCAGTAATGCTGACGTCATGCGCAGAAGATTCTCATTTGGGTTTCGGGAATGACTGACCTATATGGATGGATCTTGCAATGCACCTCCTCCCTTCTTCGTATGGGAGGAAGGGGTGTTTTTTCTGTTGGGGTTAACCCTCTAGTGTGTAATACTGACACCAGGGTCGTCCCCCCTATGCAGTCAGTGCTAAAACAATCTATAGTTCCTATTGCAACATGAGCTTTCCCGGATTCTTCATTTTGCAATAAGGAACTATAGCCTTTTTTTGTAATTTTTGGCAACAGTGTGATGTTTTCGAAGAATCTGTCAACACAGGGTGGTAAAGGAACTCCATAGCTATAAAATGAACCATCAAACCGCAACATTGATCGTTTTGAGAAAAAACGCCAATGGTTTTTGCAAAAGTTGCTCTCCTGAAAACCTACCATACTGCCTATAGTTCCGAATTGCAAAATGCTATGCAAGTAATACCGACACGTATGATCCACTTGTATTTCTCTAACTGTATTTTGTTCCATGCGCATGATAAAAAAAATGGCATAAAACCAGCTAAGCGCGAATTTTTCTCGAATTTCACAAATAATATGTGGCAACGCTGCGCTAGAGCGGGAGATTAATACATAACTAAATAAAATGTGCATAGAATTCCAAGTAATGTGGCCACTGCGTATGAAAAATAAAGGTTCGTGAGCTTGCGGAATGAGCTCGACGAGGAACACCCTCCGAATTCTGAAATAATAGATTTTCCGGGAATTCAGGCTATAAAATACGGCAACACTAGCTGTTTTTTGGGGGGGGGAAACTTTGAATCTAGAAAGGTTTTTAGAGGAAGGTTTTGACCATCCATCCATTTCATGCCAAACCCAAGCCCAAGTGGCAGTGATCGCGATAAATAGCGATTTTACCGGTTGGTTGTCGCGATTATATCGGTGGCACACTGAAAAAAAAAAAAAATCTATGTGTATTTACCAAGAAATGGATAAAATTACTGGGATTTCAGGGTCCTATTTGATCCCTGTTTTTTCAGGGTAAAATTACCATTTATAGAACTGGTAATTTGACCGAGAAATCTCGGTTAAGTTATTGAACTTTCTCAGTAATTTTACCGAAGCAGCCCGGCAAATCTACCGAGGCATGGTAATTATACCGGTCTGAACCGATTATTTTACCGCGTTCCTGTTAATTTTACTGGAACATCTGAGTAACTTTACCAGAAATACTTGGTAACTTTACTGACTTCACCCAAAAATTTTCTTGCCCCCCCCCTCCCCGCCACAAGTGAATTTGTAGAATTGGGCGGCAGGCATGAGCATACCTACTCATAATCCATCAGTGCGCTCTGGCTGACATTGCGTGAAATATTCTTGCACGTTATTACTGAAACAGTTTAGGGAAATATCAATGATTTTTTCTTTTTTAACTAGTTAATTATTAAGTATATCAGTAATTTACATCAGTCATTAACCCATTTACACTTATCTGAAGGTCCTTTGACGAGGGCGAGCGTAAAATCCTCGGAGCCTCCGTGGGGATTCGAGCCCGAGTCGCAGCGGTGGTAGGCCAGCATATTGCCACCAGGTACTACATGGCTAGTGAGTGTAAACTCAAGCCTCTACTAAGATGGATCGGCGCTTCGCAACCTCACAACTTTTATCATTGCGTAGTCTGACACCGAGTTTTTATTAGACTTTTTTCTATTTTCCCTCCTTTGTATTTTATTTCGTACCTTGAAATGCGATTGGTAAAAAAAGGTTTTAATGGTAAGCTTATCATTCTGTCTTGGTAACATTACCAATAATTGGTAAAAAAAATGAGATGGTAAAGTTACCTACGGACCTTGGAAATACGCCGAGAATTTTTTTTCAGTGCTGCTCCTCTGATGGGATCGTTATGAAACAGCGCGTAAAGTGCCGAAAACCTCGCATTTTTCGCAAAAATCGGCCTTCAGACTCATGATAAGGCAAGTATATAAACACATGACCAAATCATGATGCATTCCGTAAAATATAGTCCTTCAATGAACAGAAAACCATGGAGTTGAGGAATTTTAGGGTGGGCCCAAAAATGGCCCTTATCGATACCCCTCCTTTTAGACGAAATTTCATGAAATTTCAAAGCGTGAAACACCGCCGCTCTGTCGAGGAGAGACGAAGGACTTCTTCGAGTAACTCCTAAAAAAAATGTTGTATGTGTATTTGTGTGTGGTTTTTTGTTCTTCCTTTCTTTATTTTATCCCCTTCTGTTTACAGTCCGAACTCAGTTTACGAGGCAACAGGTTGGAAACCATAGAGGCGTTGCTGCTGAAATCGAACCCCCGCCTAAGACGACTCGATCTCAGTCGAAATCAAATTTCCGAACTCAATTCCATGCATCTCACGAACAACAAGTAAGGAGATGATTAAATTTTCTTTGAAGTGTTTTCCCGTGTCCCAAAGATTCTTCTAGAAGACTGCAAACGATGGTATTTTCAAAATTGATATTCGATTTGTCGCCTAATTAATTTACATGTTTCATCATTTTTAGCAACACAGTTATGCTGATTGTGAGTGAAATGTAGAACCGAAACTAACGAAAAGCAGGAAATAAGGCACTAAAGTAAAAATATTTTTTTAAAAATTTGCCAAGCCTTTAACTTGGCTCATTATATTTTTGAGAATATAAGCACCCCACAGGCAAGAGAACTTCACTGATGGTTTCTTGAAATAGACTATAATCAAAGTCTTAGTTCAAACCCAAACTAACTAACATAACCTCGTGTGCGAATTCTTCAGGAGTTAAGTAATTGTGTTAATTTATTGAAACTTAGTCACTAGGCCAATTCCCCTTCGTTAAATGTTGACGGAATAGGAAAAAAATCAACATTTTGTACAAGGTAGTATCACTTGAATGAAATATAAAGATTGGTTAAGAGGAAAATCAGTCGCATTTGAGTCATTCAGTCTTCCTCACTGTTCTTCATTTTTATCACTGGGATAATGTTGTCGACCTTATAAAGGAAGAAGAGCTTTTCAGCTAGACAGCTTACTTTTGATAAAAACCTTCCATTTGAAAGAAAATATGGAACCGCTGCAACATGCGAGTAGCGTCCCTGCTAAAAATGAGTGTAATGTTAACATTTTGATAACAATGTGCTAGTATTAAGTTTTAAAGCATAATACTGAGTAACACAATGTTAGCAATATGTTAGTACTCATCAGCTATGTGTGAAAATTAAGTTCGTTAGTGATACACTAAATGATTATAACCTAATCATGTGAGCTATATGTTGGCATTATAAGTTGGTCAGCATTATGTGCGTATTACACTCGACACTGTAATTCTAAGCATACATGTGCGGGATATATGTCGGCATTAAGTTGGTCAGCATTATACGAGTAATATCCCCCTGGCCGCTATGCGGCCCAACCCCCAGAGGGCGATTCGAGTTCTTTTAGGCCTACAAAAAAACAACAGAACGACTGAAGAAATTGAAAAAATTTTCATACCCGACCCTCATTTATCCAATCTCCTTCTGGCTGGGAGCAATGAGTCACTTAAGCTCGGGAGGGATTTGCCTTTAAATAATCGAATCTTACAGTTTTCGGTACCTACGAGAAGAACGATGCGCACGTTAAAATTTCACGAAAAATTGTCTCCGCGGAGATAAAACGCTTCCTTTTAAGGGGTCCTCGAAAACGTGTTTGGACGACCGCCGTGAATCTTCGAATCTACGCGTCATAGACGGAAAGATGGCTGCAACGAAGCCAACCTGCTTACTATCGCCACGCTGCCGTTGTTGACATTACGATTTCTCGTTTGAGGTTAAGTAAGTTCTACGTGATAGTTTCATATCCGACATGACTCTGTATAGCATTCTGATTGAAAAGCTTAGAGAATGAAGAACAATGGGTATGAATCTGAAACAAAGTAACCCACATAACCTCCAATTGATCAACAGAAACCAAAGACATTGAATCACGTGGACCGTGCGTCCGGCTCGGTTTAGTACACTGCCGTGCTAAGGAAGAACGCCGTATGAACCAAAAACATTTTTTTTGAGTTACACATGAAATTAGACTTAGTGAAGCATGCTCTGTTCAGTGGTGAAGTCAGAAAAGGCGTATCTTCATTAGTTCCAGAGATATGGAGGGGGTGCTTGCCGTATGTCCCGCATAGTGGCGAGATTGCAACGATTGACTGCCGTGTGTCCAGGAAACTCGGAACGCGGGTGGCACTCACGGCGTTTTTCCCTATGCTTTGTGGACACACGGCACTCGCCCCGTGCAGCGCTCGCCAATTCCTGGACTTTTGGCGAGGTTCGGCCATTTGCCACCCCCACCACCAACTCTTTTATCCGATTTCAGGGTTCCAATAATGCATGCGCTGATTAATTGCGATCACATATCGACGGTGCAAGTCGGCAATCGCATAACTCGTTTGCGGTGTCTGAAAATCTCCGCAACTATGTTATTTTTTTAAAGGAGAACAAATGGACATGATTCCTTGAAGTTTTTGCAGAATTTTCCTCGCACATAGAAGAAAAATCACAGCCGTTTTAAAGAATTACCGTTGAGTAGTTTTCCGTTTAAAAAATAAAGTATGACAGGAAGTCTGCGACGTCGCAAACCGAGTTATGTGATTGCCGACTTTCACCATCGATATGCTGTTTGTCGTCTGCTGGTAGCATGTGATTCGTTTCTGGACAGATACGCATTCCCCTTTCGTTATCATTTTCGTTCAAAATGCTTCAAGGTGCAAGTTCTACCTTATTCTTTTAAGAATTAGAAGCTAAGATTTTGCCGTAAAATTTTTACAATATATTATTTTTGTTTGAAGAAGATCAATGAGACCTTGAACAATTATTTTTTTTTTTTTTTTTTATGGTTAATTGTTTAATTTTGTTTTCCTTCTTTATTTATGTTCAAATAAAATGAGAAAGGGAGAATTCAAACGCCGATACAAACGAGCTACATTGTTTACTTGGAATTTTAACGCGGATTTTTTGCTAGAGCTGAAGGTCATCTTCGGAACTAATCTGCTCTATTTTACCACAGGAATGATACGAATGCACTCATATAATATTCATTATTATAATAATATTTGATACATACATACATAAAGTCGCTTTTATAGCGCCGCCTCGCGCTCTGCGACGCCCAATCGCCATTGCCCCCTATCCTCCCAGAGATCATCAGGCAATAGGCACCTTCTGATCTCCTCCTCCACCCCTTGTCGCCAACCTTTCACAGGACGTCCACGCCGTCGCCTTCCGGGAGGAACCCAATCGAAGACCTGCTTGGGCAACCGGTCGTCTGCCATCCTTCGCACATGTCCATACCAGACCAACTGCTTGGACCTGATATCGTGCACGATGTCCTTCTCTACACCCATGATCTCGCGTACTTTTACATTGCGGATACGCTCTCTTCTTGAGATGCCAGCAGACCTCCGCCAAAAGTCCATCTCAGTTGCCCTAAGCATGTCTTCAGTTCTTTTCTTGAGTTGCCAGACCTCACTCCCGTAAGTTACGATACTCTTCACGATGACGTTGTAAATTTTCCTTTTGGTCTCCTTGGAGATACTCTGGTCCCAGAGAACCCCATTTAGCATCGCGATAGCTTTCCTGCCTTGCACATTCCGAGCTTTAATAGCCCGATCCAAATTTCCGTCCTTAGTTAACCAAACTCCTAGATATTTATACTCTTCACAGTCCTGAATTTTCCGACATCCTCCAGTTCAATGCTTTGCTGATCACCACCGATAACCAACTTCTCCGTCTTAACCACATTTACTTCCATTCCCCACTTTCGGTATACTTCCACTAGCTTCCGCGTCATGTAATTCGCATCTTCTTCGTCCTGAGCTATTACCACCTGATCATCAGCAAAGCACAGAGTATAAAGGGTGCCATCTTCACGTAGCGGGACGCCCATTCCCGAACAGCATCTTTTCCATTCCTTTAAAACTTCTTCCAGGTACACTTTAAATAAGGTTGGCGACAAACAACACCCTTGTTTCAGTCCTTTAGTAATCAAAAACCCCAACGATAAGTCCCCATGCGATTTAACCCTAGAAAAAGCCCCACCATAAAATTCCCTAATAGCCCTAATTAGTCCCCCACTAAAACCCCTTTTGTTTAAGGCTTCCCAAAGTTTCATCAATGGCACACTATCGTAAGCTTTCTGGAGATCCATAAACACTAGATGTAATTCCTGGCCAACTCCCTTCTTTTTCTCGATGACGTGGATAATGGTAAATAAGTGATTAATCGTTGACCGACCGGCTCTGAAACCTGCTTGCGCTTCCGCTTCATGTTCTTTCCACTCCTCTTCGATTTTTGCTTTCAGGATTTTTCCATACACTTTGCTTAGGGTACCTGCAACCGACAGTCCTCTATAGTTATCACACTCATCTTTTTTATCCTTCTTCTTGTATATAGGTGACACCCAAGACTCTTTCCATTCTGTCGGTACCTTTCCACTGTCCAAGCAATCTTGCATCAGGTATCTCAACCGTTGAAACAGCTTGCAGGTTCCACACTTGATCAACTCAGCAGGAATATTTCCCGGACCCAGAGCTTTATCGTTCTTCAGCTCTCGTACGGCCTTTACCACGTCCTCCATATGGATCTCCAAGTTATGATTATCGTTAGTATACTCCAAGCTTACACCTCCATCTTGAAATTCAGGTCGCCTTTCTGTCAGTAAATTTTTAAAATAACCCTCCAGTTTATCAATGGATATCGGAGATATCAAGTCCCGCTTCATGTCCCTTCGCAGCCCTTTCAGCAACTTCCAGCTCTCAGTGCTTTTCCTTCCTCCTATGTACGTGTCTATTTTGTTACAGCTCCTCTCCCAAGATTCGTTCTTTTTCTTGGTTATGAGCCTTCGTACCTGCGTCTGAGGTTTTTCATACGCCTCTTTGTCTTCTGTTTTTTTAGAGGAAAGGAACTGATGATATTTTTTCCGTTTCTCCTGAATCTCCTTCTCAATTTCTCCGTTCCACCAGTAAGGTTTTTCGCTAACTTTCCTATCATCAGCGACACCAAGAGCCTCCATTGCTGCCGAGTGAATGCAATCCTTCAAGAACTGATACTGCTGTTCGGTATCACCGTCCCTTGATTCGCCCAACTTCTCATCCAAGCGCTTTCCATATAAAGCCCTTACACTTGGATGCTGCAAGCTGTCAATATTATAGTTCACACACCGAAAAAAAAGGGAAGTTAAATTAACATTCTGAATGTAAAAAAGTGTGCGAGAACTTATAAATGCTGAATTACCCGCCACAGCACTTAATTTTACATCTTGGCATTGCTGAAGTAACTGCTGTGGCAGGTATTTTAGCATTTTGAAAGTTCTCGCACACTTTTTTTACATCCAGAATGTTAAATTAACTTCAATTTTTTTT